ATAATAAATCTGAACAAATTATAGTATTTGAAACATTTTTGGCTTATAAACTAAAATTTTAATTTTTTTGGAGTTTCATCCCTTTCTATTGCAAAGGTCCCATATATTCTCTAAATGCATATTTTCACATACGTTATGTATGGAATTTCCAAATTTAATATTTCATTATCCGGAATTGTTAATTATTTTTCTCATTCATTATCTGGGAAAATTTAGAAACCATTTATAATTTTTTTAATTGTCTTTTTACTAATTTTGTATGAAAAATGCGCGGAATATTTTTTAGATTACAGAAATCTTCCTTATCGAATTTAGTGATAATGAAATTTCCCTGAAAGCTTTCCGAGAAATTAAAAAAAAATTTGACGATCAGGTCGGTTTCGTTTTTTTTTAAAAAATTAAAATTAAATTTGTTAATATAAAGAAAATCTCTATAAAATCACCACATTCCCCGAAATACCAAAATAAATAAAAAATAACATCCTGACTTAAATTAATTAATACGTATAAATTTTATTGCAGATTCATTTTGTAATTTTGTAAGCAATGGGATCTCGAAAAGTTAACCACGATATAAATAAGAAATTCTCTGAACGTTCATGGAGTATGAATAAATGTAAATAAAGAAAATACATGCAAAACAAATCTAATGTACTTACGAAACTAAATTTTTTTTTATTTATTCAAGCATTGAAAAATGATGTCGAAAATCTTAACACGGAGAAGAATTCTTCAGATAATAATGTTCGTGTCATAGTTGGATTAGACTTTGGAACCACCTACTCTGGATTCGCATATTGTCATGCTAAAGAAAAAAATCATCCATATTCAAACGAATTATGGCATGGAGAAGTAGGCCAACTAAAAACCAACACAGTTCTTCGATATGACGATGAATATAATAATGTAATCTCATGGGGTGCTCCGGCTTTAATTAAAAGCTAAATCGTCGGAAAAGGAATCAAATTAACAAGGATAATAAACCCGTTGAATTGTTTAAATTGCATTTGGGAGATATAATGGATAAGTTTAAACCGAAACTTCCAGTTGAATATAAAAAAGCGATCACTGATTATTTAAGAGAAATTGGAAAGGTACGATTAAAAATTGTTTGTTTGTATTTATTATACAGTATTATTATTATGAATTTTCAATTTTTTGCTTATATGCGCGAAATTTTTTTAAGGTGATTAAAGAAATGGTTACTACACGATGGTCAAATGTTGATTACTTTGAAAAGGTTCTTCTGGTTCTTAGCGTTCCTGCGGAATTTTCTGAAAAATCTAAAGCAATTATGAGGATATGCGCGTATAATGCAGGTTTGATCAAAGAAGAATGTTCAACGAACTTGCAATTCACTACGGAACGTGAGTACCATTAACAGTTATATACTTTACTCCAACAACTGATTTACGTATTATTCTTTCTTTATTTAAGCCGAGGCTGCAGCTGTATATTGCATAAAAAATAGCCTTAGAGAGCATGCTCTTGACCAACCAGGAAGTATGTTTTTGAAATACAATTTGTTCGTTATTTAACCTTTGTTTAGGAAATACCAAATAAATTAACTAATTTTACACCTTTTACACAGCTAATTTTATGGTAGTCGACTGTGGTGGTGGTACAGTAGATTTAACGGTTCGTAAATTATTAAATGATAAACAATTTGACGAAATAACCGAAGGATCCGGTGAATTTTGTGGAAGTACTTTTATCGATGCCGAATTTATTAAATATTTACGAAAAAATCTCGGAGACAAACCTATGGATTCACTTGTAGAGAATCATTATGGACGAATGCAGTACATGATTCAACAATTTTGTATATCTGGCAAACTTCCTTTTACGGGAGATGATCCAAATTTTCAATATGTGTTGGATATTCAGGAAACTATTCCTGAATTAAAGCAATATATCACTGATGAGAATATCATAAAAGCTTTAGACGACTGGGTAGTCGAAATTGATTTTGAAACCATGAAATTGATATTTGAACCTGTCATCCAAAAAATTCTTCTTATGATAAAAGCTCAACTAGATAACGTACAAGAAACTTGCTCTGCAATGTTCTTAGTTGGGGGCTTTAGTGAATCCAAATATTTACAAAAAAGAATTAAAGAAGAATTTCTTCATCGAGTAAAGGATATTTCAGTTCCTATTCAACCTATGGCAGCAATCGCACGTGGAGCAGCAATTTATGGATTATCTATAAAATCAAATAACCTGAATAATATAGGGAATGATGATGATTTGAAATGTGTTATTTTTTCAAGGGTCCTTAAATATACTTATGGAATTAAAACAACAACTTAATGGGTAAGTTTATTTTTTTATTTTTATGAGAATACCTAATATTTTCTTTGTAACCTTACTTTTGATTTAGGAAAAAGGAGATCCCATACATAGAAAACACTAGATGGATTTGTTGAAAGTTTTCATTGCTTGGCCAGGCGCGGTACTAAAATGAATATCAATCAAGAAATTACATGTTCTCGTCTACAACGATGGTTCACCATTTATATTGTACTCCACAAAGTTAATAACAGACAAGTGACAAATTCAAATGACACCCACCTAAAATAATAGCCCGAAAACCACCTCGTCGACCATTAAGGAATTTACCGTACCTTTGTTTAAACAACCTTTGAGTTTTCTGATGGAAAGGACTTTTTAATAAACAAAAAATGTTGGTTGACGGTTTGATTTGGAAATTTGGTTTTTCTCTACGAACATGCGAGTAAAAATCTCGAAACGATATTATGTAAAATAAAATTATTGTAATAAACGCGAAGAAGACTGATTTTGTCAAAACTCAAGAGAGAGAAAAATAAATAACCCAGAACTGTTTACACATTTTATTCAGAAATCACGTGGGCCTTAAATGACGTCATTTTATTTTTTGAAATTTTAGCCCTTCATTCCATTTAAGGAGCCACTTTTTTAGTTTTATTAAGTATTCTGAAAACTAGAATTCTTTTTCGGTGTTTAATGAAATAATAATTTCAAATCTTAGTTAAAAATTTAAATGTACCTAGACCAGAAGTTACAATTATTTAATTGCTATTAAATGAATAAATTAATTAATGATTTATGCTTTTGTTTTAACTTTATTTTAAAATAACTAATTTTAATGGTGGATTTTTTTTTCAACCATGATTAGCGGGACTCGTTAAAAAACTTTTTTATATCATTAATTTTCCTTATGATACATTTACTCACTCAACTTTTACAACTTCTATTTCTTCAAATTTATTGAAGAGGTTGAAAATATTAGTAATTATATAAAGGTAAATTTTTAAATAATATATCTGTTTAATTGCCGATTTAGCTAATATCAGCAAGAGAGGTAAAATATCGGTCACCCCGAAGGGGTGACATGATATTTATCTACCTAACCAATAACAAGTTTGCTTTAAATTAATATTGTTATAATAAATAATATTTGAAAATTATAAAAGGTCTATATATTTGCAATTATATTTGATGCAAATATATCAGCATGCGGACTTTTTTGATTCATCAAATCGTGTATCCTTTTTTGATTCAGGGAGTTTGATCACGAGATAAAGAATATAATTTTTTTGATTCGGCACATGGTCTTTTTTTGATTCGATAAAACATCAAACACAAGATTGTCCTAAAATTCTAAAAATTGAGATTAATAAGGGATCGGTATGATCGACCGATGTAAAAAACACATTTTTTTTCGAAAAAAAGCAACTTTGTTTTTTTTTCAAGAATGTCACAAATTAACTATGTCTACACTATTAAGAAAAATATACCCTTAAGTTGTTTTTTTTAAATAAATACTACAATATTAAGAAAAATATACCCTTAAGATGTTTTTTTAAATAATGCTTATTACTTGGAAAAACTTTTGAAAATGGAAACTTCTTCACTAGCATAACAAAGTCAATTGAGAGGACTAGTCACTAAATATTATAGTTCTACCTCAATTCGTGTATATTACCTTTATAAAATGCTAGGTGTGTATCAAATTTAAAAATCAAGACATATATTGTTTAGACAAATTTATACACTCCAAGTCAAACCTACTGGTCTCTCGTAAATGAAGCTATAGATATTTGGGCAGGAACTAAAAATTTAGAAGGGGAGGATTGAAGCTGTGATCTGTAGCTGTGTCTTAATTAGTTATGTGATCGATCAAAATGATTAACAAAGTTGACAAAGTGGACAAATTAGACCAAGTTACAAAGTGGTCATAATTGATCTATTAGATAGATTAGTTATAATTATTATAATCGTTATATTTGTTAATTATATCATAGTTAGTAGAGTATTTATATTTATCTTATATTTATTATATTATATTTTATAGTATTTTATTTTATATTCAGTAAATATCTTGTATTTTCACTTGAGTTGAAAAGTAACTTGAGATAAGGTTTTAGGATAAACCAAGAGTTTAATAAGGAATCTTTAAATTCATTTACTATTGCCTTTTGTCATGTCTTCATATAAGCGTGATTAAGATATTGTCTTGTATTTAATTCGACGGATTGAATTTAAGTTAATCTTTTAAGTTTACAGATACCAAGCCAACAACATAAGCAATTTATTTTAATTAATTAAATTTTTATGATTTTTATTTATTTTTCTTTACTACTTTATTATAATAAAAAAAATTAACAATTCTTTTCTCTATTATTAAAATTTAAAAATATTATAAAAAGTTAAGTAATTTTATTTTAAAATTCGCCTCTCAGCTTCAAATTAGAATAATTGTACAGGTAGTCTTAAAGGTAGGATTTCCTTTTATATTTGCTTTAAAAGAATTAAAAAAAATGTTTTAACATTTCCTTCTAACTGAATGATTATTTTTTGCAATTTCAGGTTGGATCATTCCAGTCTGAAGTTTAAAAAAAACCAAAAAAAATAGATGAAAACGAAACTGACGCAGCACCTGATGTGATTGAAAACCTGCATGAAAATAAAATAGAAATAAAATAAAATTAAAAAAAATAAAATCGAAATTAAAAGAAAGTTAAAAAAATTTAAAAAAAATAAATAAAATAAAAAATGAAAAAAAATGAAAAAGAAAAACCTACATTAAGCAAGCAGCCCGAATGTGATCAAAATCCTAAAATATATATATATATATATTGGTATGGTATTTAACTATAAATTTAATAAATAAAATGTTGAAGTTAACTGTATTTACGAAATTGTAAAAAAAAAAATAATTTGGCATATTGTGATTGGTTAAAATAGTTTTTTTTTATAAGTTGTCTGAAGTTGGAATTCAGATAACAATTTCAGTCACAACATTTGAAATCAATTTCGATTTCCGAAATGATTTACAATGATTTTCAAATTACTAACGCTAATTATATAATTCGAATATTTGAATTTTATTTATTTACACCCATTTTTCATTGCGATATTATCGATTTTTAACTTCATAACCATAATTTACATGCTGTAACTTCGTTAATTTTCGTTGTTTTAATATTTTCATTTATTTTTATTTTCCTATTTTTATTTTGTGTAGATTTTAATTAATTAGCATTAGCATTTATTTGAGTTAATAAAATTGAATTGCGAAAGTGTAGAGTGATGTTGAAGCAACACCGATTAATTAATTTTATTGAATTTAGATCATAACATAACTAATTGCTTATAATAAAAAACCTTCTGCTTACATTAAAAATTTATTAACACATAAACGAAAGAAATGAATACAACAGTATTAATAAATTATATGATTTCCCCAGCGTAACCCGCAATCACGTGATCGTAATCAAAATATTTGTCACCCTGCGCCGCACCTGCCGCATTTCATTTTTTTATAAATATTACAAAGTCAGAATTAAATGTCAGTAATTTAAGATCTCTAAACCCTTTGTTAATAAGGAATTAAGGAAATATAAACTGACACTAATTATTGGCAAAGTAATATCTGGGGGGACAGTTTTTCACACGACGTGAAATACTATTTGTCACATATCTATTTGTCACTGGCGTTATTACATGTAGCTTCATAATGCGAGCCAAAATGTTACGCTGGGAAGTTTAAATTAGGGCAAATTTAACCTAGACTCCGGGTTTAGGTTAAATTTTTTAAAGTACCGATCACGTAATAAGTACAGTTTCGGTCTAGGATGAGAGCCTGAACCCGGGCACATTTTAAAGATACCCTTTATTTTAAATTATATTTCGCGTAATTAAATTTTTACATAAAACTTTTTGGTTAAAGTTTGAAAGGTTACACGGCCGGGTGACGTAAGAGATATTTGTCAGAATTTATGGAGTATGCCACAATACTTTAATACTTCAACCGCTTGCCTTCCTGATTATTCGAAATTCTATGTATAATTATTTCAAACCCGACTTCAAATCCTCTATTGTTTCATTATGTAATTTTTATTAAAACTCGATTTATAAGATAAAATATTTCTTAGATATCACAAATTGGACATCTCAAAGATTTAAAAAGTAATGTAACATGGTAAATTGTTATTGAGGCAAGTTTCTTTGATTTTATTTTCCAGAATGATTTCTGAATTCTTTTACTCAATTATGTATAATTTACAATCAATACGAGTATTTACTATTAAATATTTTTTCTAAAAACTTACGTTATTGTACATTTTCGACAAATGATCACAATTTTTACAATAAAATTGGACAAATGAACACCTAATTGAATTCTTAGAACGTCTATAACTTTTTCCAAATCCGAAAGTCATTAAGTACTTTTTATCAATTGATGTGTGTTATATTCATATGAAGAGTTAGTTGCGAGCAAACAATTGTAATTTATAATTTCGAATAGAAACATTTTTTTTTAAATTAAGATTGAAATATTAGAAGTTTATTCAGAACGTTACCAACCAAATAAGTTTACGGTGCAAAATCATTGATTTTGGCAAAGTCGAAATTTTCGAAAATGAATTTTGACAGTTTCGACGTCTCGACATATTTCTACAGGTTTCAAAGGTTTCGTCGATGGTTTCGATAATTTTGCGACTTGTGATTCATGATTCAATTTAACTAAATATGTAGATTTTAACAGGTTAGACTTTCGGACTAGAGAGAGATACAAATAATGAATAAATTTAAGAAAATTTCTCCAAATTTTCTCAATCATACCTGGATATATCGAAGGGAAATTATTTTCTTATTGAGGGGAATTCAGAAATATTCTTGATGGATTTTGCTACCCGTCACTTTTGCCAATCGTCGAACTTTTTCAAATGTCGTGAATTTCGCGGTTTTGCCTTTAAAATTAAGATAATAAATTGCTTTAAAAAATAGTTCACCCTATTTGGTTAGTTATTATTCAGAAGTTATAAACCACACAATTAATTAAATTTGGAAAAAACTTAACGGATTGTTCATAAACTGGCGTCATGCACTTATAACTAGTTTTCAATTATTTCATTAAAAAGTTACTTTATATAGAAGGGTGTATGCGATTTTATTGATAAATACAAAGTAAAATTAACATGTAATTTATTTTATCTTTTTAAGTAGGCAATATATAATTTAGCGAGAAATGTTATCAAATATTTAATTAAAAGGACTTCCACGACTTCCAGCAAAAAAAAAACATAACTATGTTAAACTTTTTCACCATTTATAACCAAACTTTTAATGCATCGAGAAGCTTTCGTAACGGAATTCTGAAAACTTCTAATTCGTTTGGAAAAGATGTTTCAAGATATCTTCTTGCTTGATCCAGCGTTTGCACATCACCTTGATGAAATTCGTTATTACCTGACATTTTCATTCTTAATAATAGTTCAAATTCTACAACTGTTATTTTGACATCATTTAAAATTTTCTCTAATTTTAAAATATATTCTTGATCCTCCTTCTTAAAATCTACCTTTTCCAACACAATTTTCGGTCAAAAGCAACCAATACTTTGGCCCAAACTTTAAACCCCAACCATTATATGATTAAAGATGGAGATCTTGTCTCTATAAAGCAATATTTCCTTTCTTAGTACATCTTTCGTGAGTATGAAAATATCGCTTGTAAGTTTATTTTGCTGCTCTGCAATTTGAAGTACGATTCTTGAACGAGATTTTAGTTCTTCATTATTTTGAACCAAGGTTTCTCCATCATTCAGGTCTATGTTCGCGTCCTCCAATAATTTCTCCTTATGGAATGTTAAAGACTTCTCAAGGGATAAATTTTTATTTTTATAGGTGTTCAAATCATTATAATAATCAGTGACAATATTCATGGTTAAAAAATAGTTACTATGGAAATAAATTCTCGAAAGAGGGTGTAAAGTGAGTTTTGAAAGCGTCTATAAATAAATAAAATGTTATTTATATAATAGCGCGTTATGATTATAAACATAGCAAAGCCACATTTCTGCGTAATATTGCGTAATAATTATAATTATCATGTGATTTATAATAGAAAATTTAGTGGATAATACTATTATCTCCGATCTTAAGCATAAACATTATGAAGATGCTGACGTATCAAAGTTTTGAAATGTGTCAGCGAAATTATTAACCGAACGATAGATTTATATTTTTTTTGGTTTGTTTTTGAAAAAACGCAAACTAATACATACTTTAGTTCCAGGATTCATCAACAACACGGAAGGCAGAAAAACATAAAGTTCCGGCTTCGCTAAGGTCATTAATTTGTTTCTGATATTGCATGTTTCGTACATTTCATAAATGATAAACATATTATTATATGCAGAAATTCTTTTAATAAGTTTAATAAGAAATATGTATTAAGTGATTTTACATTTATACCTAATTCTTACTATAACACAAGAGGATAAGAGCAAGACGTCCTAAGTTTAAATAAAGCCTTCAATACGAAATTTCACATATAAGCAATTCTATACGTGATGAATTCTTTCGTTATATTGCATTCAAGACATTCAAACTTCTTAGAAAGCTTGAAAAGGGAGGTATCAAGGCTATTCCAAATGGAGTTGAAGGTTGCAAATAATTCAAATAATTATATATCAAGAAACGTTATGAAAATAATCGCATTCTTTTTTGTTATTTCAATGTTTCAGTTTTTTAATAACACGCATGATGGAAATTACATTACAGATTTATTAACGTAGCTGGTGGTGGTGCTGATGGTGGTGCTAATGGTGTTGATGTTACTTACGTAATTAATTTCCAAAAAATGAAAGAATCAGAGATTGTAATTGTATATTTATTCAAAGTAGAATTCCATATAATTGTAGAATTTTATGTTAAAATATTTTAAATCATCATATATAAATTCTTTATTTTGTGGATACATAAAATAAAATTACCAAGCAATCGACTAATTCCATCAATTATCCAAATTCAAATCTAGATCCTAATAAATTCTACCTTTTACCAAAGGTAAGCGCAAATTAAATAGGACGGTTTAGACCTAAATAAACAACAATATTTTGATTTTTAGGGTCCCTAATATCTTCTTCATCCCTGGCTCCATTACGAAACTTTGCATCATGTCTTTAGAACAATAAAATGCCAAATGGTTATAAGTTCTTGATCGAGTCTTGTGATAAAAAATTTTTCATCTCAACAGTAGTCAATCTATGGAAATAATTATAAATAAAGAAAACGAATAACTAATTTAGCCATGGGCGATTAACCTCAACTCTATATGTTGTTGGCTTGGTAACTGTAAAAGAAAATGATTAACTTTATTTCAATACGTCGAATTAAACACAATACTTTAATGCAAAAGGTAATAAAATGAATTGATAATTTTCCTTTATTGAACACTTGGTTTTATACTAAACCCTATCTCGAATTATCTTTCAACTCAAGGGCAAATATATGATACTGTATTTACAAGTTAAAGTTAAAATACTAATATTAAAATACTAAAAATAATAAAATATAAATGATAAATATAATAATAATAATAAATATAAGAAACATAATAACTCTACTAAATAAACTATAACTAACAAATATAATAAATATAAATAATCAAATATGACCACTTTGACATATCGGTCAACTTCGTTAACTTTGTTAATCAAGTTTACGTGGCTGGCCGCAGTCATGGGTCACGGCTTCAATGTACATTTCAACGTTCTATCTTGTATAGCTTAGGTACAAGACCAAATTGTGATGCCGCTGTAAATTGTATATTTGGCGCTGCTATGATTGGAACCTGAGAGCCGAACTTCTTTTTAACCCACATAGCAAATTGGAAATCCTTCCGTAATTATTTTATTTTTATTTTTCCAAATCTCGAGATCCTACATTTATTCCAAGCATTGTAAAAATTCTTTATCAACTAACGTGCTACCAAATCAACGACAAGTTCAGTAAATTCACTAAACTTTTTGTCTGTAAGAAGTTTTTGTGATGTTTAAATACCATCACAATCAGCTACCAAGAAGAATCTATGTCGAAAAAATAGTTAATAAACGAAATGTAAACCTTTTATTAATAATCGGCTCCATAGAAATAATAAAACATACCGTTGGATTTATGCTTACACTTTAAGACGAAGTGTTGCAGCATCAGCTGTTGGAAATGGGTATATTGTTATGATTAAAAATGTATGTCAAAAGTCAACAATTCAAAACTATATAATAGACATCTGGTCAGTAGTTAATTCGATATTATTTGACTACAGGGAGATTAATATTCCTGCGTAATATCTTGATTATGGTTTGGATGCTCTGACATCAGAACAAATATATGTTTTGCCGAAATGAAGAAAAAAAAACTTTTAATCTAAATAATTTTTCAATCGTGTAATCCACTCAGCAGGAATTGTAAATACAAGATCACTTATTGAGAAAATTTGATGTTAGGCCATCGTGTCTCAATTGTTTCTTTGATTAAATAATATAAATGGCTTGTTTAAAATTCAATTGGGCATGTAACCAAAGTTTTTCATGCCGATAAATGTAACTTCTACAGAACGTGGACGTTTTCTTTGGATCATCAAATTTTCACCAAGTTTTTTCTTCCAATGCAGAATATCCTATCTTAAATTACTTATCATATTGAAGTGCTATAGGTGTTTTAGTATCACCTTAAATGCATAATTGGAACAAAAATGTTTGAAATATGATGGACAATGATTACGATAATGATATCATTACCAACAACTCTTTCAGCGTTTCTATGTGATCGTACGCTAAACCAGAAAAAGTAATTTCAAAGCTCTATTGCAACAAAAATACTAACATTCCGTAAGGACAAATTTCTCCATATTGAAAGAAAAAAACATATTAGACAATTTGAATTTATTTCGAAGCGAAATTTCTAAAATGGGTCGTAATCTTACCTTCTAATGGCTTATAATAAGTTAAAAAGTCATTTCTTCAATGAGGAACGTTTCGTAATTTACAGTATGTACATTCACAAGATAAACAAGAACCCTCATATTTTAAATAAACTAGATTTGCTACTAACCCTTACAATGCTGCAATAAACTTTATTTTAGATTTCCACCTATATTTATTTTTGCCTTATTTATAGTTGAAGAAATTTAGCTGGCACTAACTTTGAAAGGATAAGTAGCTTATTATGTAACTC